ACGGGAACAGGAGTGATTGGAGCAAGGGGTGTCAGAATCTACTTTGTGTTCTTCAGTGATCACTTTGGCTACCGGATAGAGAGTGGACAATAGGAAGAGGAGTGGAAGCAAAGAAACCTTATAGGAGGCTATTATAATAGTCATAGGTTTGTTTTGTTTTGTTTTTACTTTTCATTTTGAAATAACGTTTGACCCATATTCCCCAAATGTTAACATCCTTGAATATTACAGTATAAATATTAAAATCAGGAAATTAACATTGATACAATGCTATTCTCTAATCCACAGACCTTATCCCCAGTTCTCCAGTTTTCACACTAATATCCTCTTTCTGGTTTAGAATCCAACCCTGGTCCACACACTGCATTTGGTTATAATGTCTTCTTAGTTATCTTTAACCTGGAACACTTCTTTAGTCTTTCCTTCTCTTTTAAGACCTTGGCATTTTTGAGTACTAGCTAGACTGCCCCTCCCTTGTAGAATGTTCCTTCATTTGAGCTTGTTTGATGTTTCCTCATGGTTAAATTCAGGTTATGCATTTTTTTATAATACCCCACGAAAGTGAGAATTATGCTTTTTAAGTAGTGCATCTTATCAGGGTGCACATGATTTGCCCTGTTACTGGTGACGATAACTTTGATCACTTGGTTAGGGTATGTGTCTGCCAGGTTTCTCCACTTTGATCACCCTTTGTAATTCACAAGTATTTTATGAAGAAATACTTTGGAACTATGTAAATATTGTTTCTTATTATATTTCTGCCCAATAACTTTAGTATCCATGGATGATTCTTACCAGAGTAAGTATGACTGTGGTGATTGCCAAATTGTTTTTTCTATTAGCATTATTCCTTCTACACTTTTTAGTTGGAATTGTACTATAAGGAAAAACTTTTACTTACTCCCTATTTATGTATTCAATTATTTATAGTGGAGTAGACCCACAACTTCTCACTAATTTCTGTGTGAGGACCATGTACTACCATTTATTTATTTTGTTGCTCAAATTGTCCCAAATTTCGCCATTAGGAACCTTTTCACATTGGCTCCTTTTTCACACGTCTCCATCATTTTTTGACACGTCTTAGTTTTTGGTACCACATAATGTTCCTGGCTCAGCTTGTGCACTGCTTGCCGTAGCCCTGGAATCAGCCATCTGAGCAGCTCTTATTCCTTCTATTAGTGACTAGTATTTAGAAGCCAAAATTTGGGTGCTGTGTGTGCTCATTGTTAATGAGATGTAATTGCTTCTAGGCTCTTTCAGTAGACAAAGCTAAAAAATACATGTGTACTCACACATCTATAATTATATATTTTTTGTGATTTCATACTGATAAGCCCAGTCTAACACAAAGAGATCATTCTAACCTTCCTCCTCTTATTTATAACTCCTATTATAATCGTGAGGAACTCAGCTCTTATTATCCTCAACACATTTATTTAGTTAATCCTAGAATACGCATAGAACTGTTCCAGAATTGTTTCACATAGCCCTGTGAAATACAAGCCTATTAATCAAAGTACAATTTTTGTGTACAAATCTTTTTATATTTAACCTTATTACCATTTTCCAAAGTTACTTTTATCACTTCTCCCCATACCCTGCTTTAGTGTGGTTGTATCATTCATTTGTAGTACCGCTAGGTTTTTCTGTTTAGTGTATATTCCATTTTGGATCCACACACAATCGCACATGCCAAGTTGATTTTTATTATTAACTTGTTTTTGAGTATGTAAAACATATACATGGTTCTAAAACTCAGAACCAAACAAAAAAATATATACTATGAAAAATGTCACTCTCCTTCATCCCTACTCCATTCCCATTCCGCAGCCTTCCCCACACACCTGCTATTAATAAAGCTCTTTAATATCTCATTTACCCTTATTTTCTTAGGTAAAAGGGAGCATGATGTAGATAATTCTTTTGCACTTTGTCTTTTTCACTTTACAGTACATTCTGGAAATCACTTTTTGTCCATCCAGGAGATCCTCATTCATTTTCAGAGGTACATAGCACTGTGTGTAAGTGTAGCATGGTTTATTTTCCCACTCTCTTACATGAGTATTTAGGCTGTTCCCAATATTCAGCTTTTTCAAACAATGCTGAAATCAATACCCTTGCGCATGCATATTTTTGTATTATTTGGTGAGACTGGGGACAGTATCTTCAAGTGACAGTATCTAGAAGTGAGATTGCAGGATTAGGAGCTAAGCACATATGTAGTTTTGTTAGATGTGACCTACCCCACTTTACTGGTTTGCATTCTCATCAGCAGTGTGTATAAATATTGTTTTCTGCCATAGCCTTTACAACAAAATGTGTGTCATACTTCTTAATTTTCCTTGTATGATAGTGGCTTATATGAAGATAGCAGTAGAGGTAATGAGAAGTGCTTAGATTCTGGATATATTTTGGAGGAAAAACGAATTCAAGAGTTTATGATGGATTGCTTTGGAGGCTAAATTCTGTTTAAATATTGGGCATCAAGTTTAACAGTCTAAACTAGTAACATTTTCATTTGTATGACATTTATGAAGGTCTTGGTGACTCTCACCTTCCTCTTGGACTGGCCTTATTATAATAGTCCAAAAATACATGACATTGTAAAAGGCAATGCTAACTGCTCTGACAAGTCATTTCAACATTTTAGTGCCTTAATGCAGCAGAAGTTTATTTCTTGCTCATGTAACAATCCAGTATAGGTGTTGCTAATTTACAGTTCTTTCTATGTGGTCATTCAGGCACCTAAGCTCCTCCTAGAATACATGTTCTCCCTGTCCTGGGGTCTTGGAGACCTCTAGGAGGAAGCGGGAAAGGGACATCTTAACTGCCTTGGCCTGGAAGAGATGCACATTATTTCCGCCTACTATCTGGTTTCCTGTAGAGGTTCTGTTGCTGAGAACTGGTCACATGCCACCTAGATGTAAGAGGGCCTGGTAAATGTGGTCCTTGCAGGACAGCAGCTTTCCAGGAAGTACGCTTTATATGAAAGAGGGAATGTGAAGTTAGATGGACAGTTAGCTAACTCTGCTACAGATATTTAACAAAATAAGCCATTTGGGTGCTGTGTGGGAACAAATAACATGTTTTGCAGAATGGAATGCATATCTTGAACTATTACATGGCCAAATACTGAAGGATGTTTAAAAATAAGTATAATCATGGAGTTTAATAGCAGGGAAAGAAGATGAGTTCTACAGGAGGAGGAAATATTTAGCATTGAAAGGCTAAGTAAGCATCACAGAGGAGTTGCAAGTAAGATTTATGGATTTAAAAAAATCTATATATATAAAAGCCTAAGTGACCAAACGACCAGTCGACCCATTGCTATGACACGCAGGAGCTGCCCCCCTCCCCCCCCCCGGTGGTCAGTGCTGCTCAGCTGATGTATGGCCGTCCGATGCAGGGCGCATGACTGGCCTCTGCAGCCCGGAGACCACAGTGGAGTGGCAGTGAGCCTACCGAGAGGCAGCGGCAGCAGTGGCAGGCGCAACAGGGCCTGGATGAGCAGTAGCGGCAGGCGGCGTTGGACTGCCGGTTTGGGCCCATCCCTGCAGGCCACGCCAAGGGACCCCACCAGTTCATGGATTCGTGTTTATATATATTTGTGTTTTCATTCATCTGCTCCTTAATTCATTCAACAGACAATAATACGAGAGCCTGTCTGATGCTGGCGTGTGCTTGGTACTAGTAGTGTGTGTGTGTGTGGGTGTGTGTGTGTGTGTGTGTGTGTAAGGGGGATGGGGGAGGAAATGGTGAGGGAAGAGGAGATGGGAGCTGCAGGGGGTATTTACCATATGTGTAATGGGGGGAAGTGATGTTAATTACATGGACAGAAATATATGTAAGCAGAATGCTGTGCAGGTATAGGAAGAAGCTATTAAACACAATGCAATATAGTAGGTATTTTTTTCCTTTTGATCTTGAAAAAAATCACAATTATTTAAGGGAAACTTTTCTAAAAGCTTTTAAAGTTAAACACTTTATTAGAACAAATAGATAATCTAAAGAAGAAAAACATCAGATTGCAACAAGTAAGCTATTTTATGTTGTTTTTAGAATATAGTCTTTTTCTTTTTTAAAAAATAAAGAACCTTATAAAAAGAAAAAACAAGAACCTTACATTTTAGTATTTTTCAATAATGTAAAAGATGAGTGCTTTTCACATTCTTAATTATTTGTAGGCTTTGTGCTCACCTTATATGGAAAAAGTTAATATCATACTCAGTGCACAAGTTTGATTTATAAGGGCACTGCCAAAGAAGAAAATCTGTCGTATTTTATAGCCACACCTCTAGAGTAATGCAGTTTACAGAGTGGTCCTGTATAATTGATCCGCTCTGATTCTCATATAATCAGATGTAGCAGGTGATGGCTAAGTTGTTGTTATCAGTAGTCACCGTATCACCATCCCCATTTTAAATAGTTGAGGAAACTGACACTTAAGGATGTAAATGATTTGCCCAGAATCTGTAAATTTAAATTTGCAACGAGAGAAAATAAAACTTAAATTCAGATACTATAGTCTAATTATAGCTGATATTCAAGATAAAAAAACCTAATTAATCTTTTTAAACCTTATAAGTTCTCACCTATTATTGTGGGGGTAGGAGGTAGACAACAATTAAAACAATATTGCTAATATTTCCAAACCATGCAATATTCTCCATTCTTCTTAGAATTATGACTATTGTTTAAAGGTCAATTAATTATCTTTTTCATTGTCTTTGGTCTTTAGAGAAATTTATTTTATGGTACATTTAAATTTTTGGAAACTGCATCTTCCAAAAATTTAAATGTACCATAAAATAAATTAGTGGAATTCTTATTCTCAGAGCCAATTATTCTCTCTTTGGGGACTTATTGTTTACTCTTTAAACAAAAACATTATTGTATGCCAGGAACTGCACAAGAGCCTAACTCATTTGCATTCGTATTTTATTGGTGAATAATATTGTTACTATGTGACTAATGTTCCACTGTGTCTGGTCTCTCAGGTGGGGTGACTGCTCTCTGCTGGGACCCGGTCCAGCGAGTTTTGTTCTCAGGCAGCTCTGATCACTCTGTAATCATGTGGGACATCGGTGGGAGAAAAGGAACTGCCATCGAGCTCCAAGGACACAAGTAAGGCTGTTGGTGCTTTGTAAAGAACTCCTGAGAAAAAATTCCCAGCTGAAAGCTGGAATAAAGGAGTGTGGTTCAGTCTCTATGGCAGGATCTCAGCATGGGAAGGAACAGGGTAGGAAAACAAATAATGGCCACTTTGATTTATGTCTGTGTGTAAGTATGTTTACTTATTTATACTGCATTCTATTCCATAGAGGATATGAGAGCTCTTATAGAAACCATAAGATAAGATAATGGCAGCAAATAAAAAGAAGGTAAAAGTTAGAACCAGGGAGAATATAAGAGTAAAAATTTGAGCATGAAAGAAGAAGAGTTTAAAAGTACAAGCCATGAAGGCCTACAGAATTTCTATAATTGAGGTCAAATGTGGCATCAAGATTCCTGATAGCTTAAGGAAAATATGTGAGATAATATTCTTCCTTACACAGTACCTTTTGTACTTCACGTATTTATCAGGTTCTTCCTTAGAACGGATTTCAGGGGTCTGAGAGGAAGAGCTGAGAAAGTTTTCTTATTTCCTTGGAGCAAGTTCTCAAACTTGGCTGGGCACAGAGATCACTGAGAAATTGGTTTAAAGTAGTTTCCTGGGCCCTGTCTTTAAAGATTCTGGTCACTGCTCTGGAGCTGAGGGCATCTGGATGGTAGCAGGCCTCCCATCCCAGGCAGCTCTCTGCTGGTGAACCTCAGATCACACTCTGATTTGTCCTACACTGTATTACCCACAGTCCCTGGGGACAGAGTCTGAACATGCTGAAGAAAAGAGCTTTAGATGTGCTGTGGAACTCTAATCTAAATTGTTTTTAACTTGTGAAGTTTTCCAAATGATATTGAGAGTAACTACAGACTTCCATAAACAAATCAGTAATGTCCCAGTGAGCTGATTGGTTTTAGCTCTTCCTATAAAACTGCTTAGAAACAGTAGTTTTAAAACAGTCTCCTAATCCAATTTTGGAGGGCCCTTGCGCAGGTCATTATTTTAGTGTTATAGCTTAGTGTTGGAGAAGTAGCTAAACCTTTCTTTCCCATTTTAGAGAGCAGACTGGTTGTCTGGGGCCAAAGCTGGCTTGTGGGGCCACTTGGACTTTGTCATCTGCTCATTAGAGGAATAGTTCCCTTATATTTCTCTCCAGACAAGGTGACATGCATCAACTTCCTGTAGGAGTTGGCATCATCCATGTTAAGTGAAGAGAGAAATCACAGTCCAGTTTAATAATACTCTGTTATTACCTTATCTGCCAGATAATTCCTGACACATAGGCTCTCTCAGAGAAATAAAATGCAGGTTTTGAATGAAGGTTAGTAATATTTGTTGGACTCATTCAGATGAGCTTAATAACTAGCTTTGCTTTTACACAGTGGTTGATGAAGACTGCGAGCAGTCTTGAATGACCCGTGCACAGGGTGGGAAAGGGTCACAATGCTCCATGCCAGCATTACTGTGTGCTGAGCACCCTGATGGAGAGTGTTGTTGTAGGAAACTTACACCTACAGTTTGGTAAGTGGAAAAACTATAAAGTTGAGGTACAGTCTCTCAATCCCAGAGAAATTAAACCTAAAGTA